AACAGTTCTTGAATGCTCGCTACGTGCCAGCATTGCATTAGGCTATTGGTTATTTGTGATAATAAGACAAACTCTGACCTCCAGTCACTCAGAATTTAGGCAGGGAAACCGACTCACAGAGCGTCACTATAATCCAGGGTGGCAGTTGGCCCAGTGACAGTGGTTTGCATGTGGTCTTGTGGCAGAGCAAAGAGCTAGCAACTGTCCTCACCTCAGGTCTGTGTGTGAGGAACGAACAAAGAAGCCTTCTCAGAGGAAATGGTACCTATCTGAAAACAAAAAGCCATTAGTTAAGAGAGGAGGGCTGGGGCACAGCGGGCAGAGGAAACTCTTCATCCATCATGCACGTGCCACATTAGTGTGGGTACAAGACTGTGGGGTGGGCAAGCACACAAGAGAGGGCAGGAGGAAGGAAGAGAGCAGAAGTAAGATAGTGGAGAGATAAATTTTCCAATCCCATAAATTTCCAAAGACCCAAAAAAGAATTAACAGAAAAATAGGTAACTTGCCTACATTTTGGGGGGTAGTGGGGGCACTAAAAGACAGGAAAGAAGAGTAGGTACAAACCCCCAGGCACATCTGGGCTCTTCTGAAGAGTTAGAGCAAAGTCTGCTTTCACCTTCAGTGGGCTGGTCGGCCTCTGGGGTGAGTAGTAATGGTGGACGTTCCAGGCTTCTTTGATTTGGAGGATCACAGTTAGAACTTAATTGTTGGATGGGACTGCGTTTCTACAGACTGACCCGGGACTTGATTCAGTAGAGCCACCTGGCGACACCACTGTGTGGCAGACAAACGGCTGAAGTCACCTGGCTCTGCAGTGAAAGTGTGTGCGAAGATAGCTCTCCGCAGATCTCTCATGCTCTTGTGGGCAGAGGCACTGACAGCTCTTGTTCTGGTTCAAGACTGTCTGTTCCCAGAAGTCTGTACAGCGAACAGCCTTGGAAGATGGAGATGGCGTCTCTTCCCAGGGCAGAGGGCAGATTTCTTGGCTGTCCTGTATAATAACATCTCTCTCTGGGGCAAAGATTGGGAAGGTTTGCTTATAGCCCATTAAAAAAAATTGGTTTCCTAGCTTGGGATCCTTCAGCTGTAATTCAGACCCATTCTATGTGCAGCACGCACTGAGGCCCACCTTCTCTCCCCAGCGAGACTCAGGGGAATAGGGGGCTGACGTGAACATGAAAATCTGTGTTGCCTGTTGTGCTGGGAGTAATAGAGTGCTGTGACTCTAGTCCAGAGTCTCATGTCTTCTGCCCTCATCCATGAAAGGGCAGCAGCCTAAACTGTTAGCTTCGTGTAGGGTAAAATCCCAGACCCTTTGCAGTTCTTGGGAGGAAGGATACTGGGCCAGGGCCCCGAACTGTCACAGGATCAACATAGGGTGTCTTTTTTTTTTTGAGGAAGATTGGCGCTGAGCTAACATCTTTTACCAATCTTCCTCCTTTTTTCTCCCCAAAGCCCCAGTAGATACTTGTATGTCATAGTTGTACATCCTTCCAGTTGCTGTATGTGGGATGCCGCCTCAGCATGGCTTGATGAGCGGTGAGCAGGTCCATGCCCAGGATCGGAAACAGTGAATCCCCGGCTACCAAAGAAGAGTGTGTGAACTTAACCACTACACCACCGAGCTGGCCCCATAAGGGTGTCTTTAACTAACACTTGAAGCAAGGCGTAGTCCAGATGAGAGTGGATCCAATAGTTTCTCTACTGCTTGATGTGTATTGATAATAAACCCGACAAGTTTTTATCACTCAAATCACTCAGAAAGTCACTGCCCATGGAAATGATTACCCAGGGGGACTATAATTTTATTTAGAGTATATAAAAGTTGAAAAACATAAGGACATAAGCTAAAGGTCTAATGATAGTCTCTGTCCGGATTCCTTTTGGACTCAATTTTTCATCCACTTCCATTCAAAGTTTAAATGATCAGATAAATAAATATGGTGACCATTAAGATGCACGTAAATTTGCCATTTTGTTTTTCATATTATGAGGTGAAAGGGTAGATTGAGTTGAGCTTGGGCTGGAGAGCTGTTAAAGCAGATCTCCCTCTACCATTAACAGTCACGTTAAGCACGCCAAAGAGAATACTCAGCACTGGAATTTATGAGACGTGGCTTGAGTTGCTCCAGTTTTCCTTGGGAGAGATTCCAGTCTTACGAGGGAGACAGGGATGGAGTAAACCTTGGTCAGTTTGTCAGGGGCAGCATCGTGTTTTGGACCGGAGCATGGATCATGGAGACAAACTGCAGCGTTTGATCTCCGGCTCCAGCACTAGCTGTGCACTCTTAAGCAAGTCACTTAAACTTTCTGTGCCTCAGGTTCCTTATCCGAAAGATGGGGATAATAGTGCCTACCTCAGAGGGTTTGTGTGAGAATTAACTGAGTACACACACACACATAATTGTGCTTAGAACAGTGTCTGCCACATGGATGCACCGTAAGATTATTATACTATAATTATTATATATGATATTGTATTATTGTATATTTATATTATTGGTGCATAAACTAAGACCAGTATTTCCTATCCTAGTCCTGAGAATAAGACCTGAAATAACCATTGTTTGTTGTTTTCCTCCCTCACTAAAAGCTGCTCATTTGCTTGGGAACAATTACCAACACGGAGTCTCTGGCAGGCGGTCCTCACGCCGCTTCCCCCACGCTGGACGTGTTGGGCCAAACACATAAAACAAGAGTTAGTTCTCCTTCACCAACTGGAGCGTTTTAACTCTAATAATCTATCACCCAATACATTTTTATTGCATATGTATGTGAAAAATTACCTACTGGACATTTTTCATTTCAAAAAAATTGTCCCCTACTGAGTCTGGCAGCAATCCTCTGTGAAACTTTCCACTAGCCATGAGGGCATAAAGAATGTTGGGCTGATAGTGTAAGTAATTATTTCATGACTCATGAGGACAGGTTTTTTTGACTGGTTCCCACTGTATTTTAAGACTACCTATTACTTTATCTTCAACGGATAGATTAAGAGTCAGCATATTTGTATTTATTTTTAGGATTTGAGGAACCTGTGAACAGAAGCCCCTTGTTTTCTTTATTTTGCAATCCAGCTTCCTCTTTGGTCTCGTACGGCACAGTCTGTTTTCCAACACTGGCTTCCTTCCCTTCTGCATCGCGTCCTGCCTGACTCTGCAGGACTTTCCACCCAACAAATGTTAACTGATTGGTGAGCTATGATTTCAGTTAGCTTGGATCAAACTTGGAACCACCTGCGTTACTGAGCCTCCAACACAGGCCTGGCATGAAAACGCTAATGGCCCTTTAAAAAAACAAATATATATATATATTTTTTTATTGTGTGCCAGACATTTTGTAAGCAAAATCTCATTTAATAATGTTAAATTGTACTTAAAGCACCCAGGTGTTAGGATTCAAACAGCTGTAAAAGCCCCTCAACTTTGAAACCCAAGAATTGTGAGTGTTACATATGATGTTTTATGATACGTCTAAAGTCATACGTAGGTATTCCTCACCCTAATATTTCCCCCAAGGCAAAGTGTAGTTACTGGGCCAAATGTACAGTTTACTTCTATTGGTATGTGGAGCAAGAATTAAGGCATTAAATATGTAGAATTTATATTCGTAGAAAAAAAAGCCACAGGAAATTACATTCTTCAACCATTTTTTGCATATTTTAATGATGTCAAAAATAATTTTAACCAGTTTTTTTCCTTATAAGAAAAGGATATATCCGTGGTTTTAAAAGAGCATATTCTCTCCCTCTCTATCAATATCGACATCCATGTATAAAAGAGCCTGATGTAAGGGCATCTTTCCACTACCCATAGTCCCCTCCAGAATCCAGGCCATTTGTCCTCTCACATCCCGTGGTGCTGCTACTGGGGTCTGTTACTATTTCCAAGCTTCGTGGTGCTTTGAAATCATCTAGTTCCATTTCCTAGTTTCACAGATGGTGAGAGGAAGGCGCAGAGAGGTAAAATGAACTCAACAAAAGTCACTGAAGAACAGGAAAGAACAGTGTAAAACCACAGTGCCAGAGAGGATCTTCCTCCGTAATTAATTTGAAAATTCCATGTCTAATCTGGAACTAAATATATCCTGTAAAAGAAAATTCCTTGAATACCATGGATAATGCATTCTAATATCTAACAACCTTTCTAGTCAGAAGTGTCATTCTTGAGTGTAATAACCTCTTTTCATGCAAATTAAGCTTATTTCCACTTGTTAGGTGCTTAATAGAGATGGATGATACTCACTTTAATAACTACAATTGCACAGGAGTATTAAAATATTTTTCAGTACTAACTTAGTCTCCATTATTTTCTCTGCACTCGATAAAGAGTGCACCTGTAATTTTGAACATAAATCTTTGCTTCCCTTCTCCAGTTGCTGAGCCAGAAATCTGGATCTCATGATTCACTGCTCTATTTTTTTCACTTTCACCTCCAATTAATTACTGAGGTCCTTTTGGTTTTACTTCCTAAATAGCTCTCAACTCTCCCAAACTCAGTGTCACTACTCATTTATGTCACAAACATTCCTCACCTAGATTATCACAACATTTTACCTGATCGATTAGTCAACAATGATTGTTTCAACAACTAATTCCCAAATCTTAGTTGTTTAACAAAATAAACATTTATCCCTTGCTCACACTCCATGAGGACTGCAGGTTGACCTCGGGCTTGGCTGGGCTTAGCTGGGCTCCACATTTCTTATTCTGGGACTCGGGCTGAGGGAGCAGCCCCTATCTGGGGTCTACTAGTCTCACTGCCGAGGGCAGAAGATCAAGGGGGACAGAAGCCACATCACAACACTGAAAGCTTCTGCTTGGAGGTGGCCTACGGCATCTCAGTAAGATTCTATTGGCCAGAGTGAGTCTCCTGGCCCAGCTCAAAGTCGCTGGGGTCGGGAAGCACACTACGCCCACAGGTGACTGTGGCGAGGGTAGGGAGGGAATAGACAATTATGAACAAACAATGAATCTACCACACTGGGTACCTGCCTACGGTTGCGTTGCTCTCCAGTTCAGCCTCCACACTGTCTACCTCACAAACAGGATCCCACTCAGAAGCCTCGGGATTATCAAGAGCTAGGGTGAGGGAAGAATTAGAGAAATGAGACTTGAGAGATAAATGGAATTTTCTAGAAGAGGAGAGGGAAGGAAGAGCATCCTTGATGCTGAGTCCCAGAGAACAATAATCTGAACATTCTTCTGAATGGCTTGTTTCTTAGTTCTCTAATGGCAAAGAACTACGCAGACAGCTTTTCACTGGACGGTGGCGTCTGTGGTGTAATGATTGGTTTTACTGTCATCTTGACCCCGTCCCTGTACATCTGTGAACTTCCTGATGCAGGAATCGTCTCTCACCTTTGACTCCCCGGTACCTGCACCTGGCCCCGTGCCTTGAGCATAGTAGGCACTCAGAAGGCTGGAGAGGCAGGTGCCTGTGTTCAAAACAGTCTGATTTAGATAACTGGGTCCTCTTGATCCTCCTGCTGGTCAGAGACAGCAGCCTGTCATGATCTAGATCCCATCCCCTTGTGTTCTAGAGACGACTTCTGTGAGCTCTTCTCTAAACGTCCCTCCTTATTTCCCCTCCTTTCTTGTCTCGACTCGCTTTTTCATCACGTTACTCCTACTCATTAAGGCATGTAAACTGCTAGCCCGCTTTCGCAACTGGCAGCGTATGTGAATCTAAAGGAACGCATTATGCAGTCCTTTATACAAATCCTCGGCACCACGTCCAAGGTTGACCTTTTCCTTGCACACTAGACACACACTTCAGCCCAGCTTTAGACTGTAACCCTCATTTGCTCCATTTCTTACAAGACAAGGCCGAGTCCCTTCCTGAGATTTTCATTCTCGCCTTCGCCCCCATCGCCTCTCCCGTGAGCAGCTCCCTGGCCGTCCCGGAACTTCCTTCCACAGACCACATGCCTCAGTCAGGCAGGGCTGTTTGCCTTCTCCAAGCACATCCTGCCCTCCTACCCCTCTGGGCTTGGCTTTGTTGGTCCTTTGCTAGGAAGCTCCCCCCTTGGCCTCTTCTAGGAAAATCCTGCTCATATTTCAAGGCTCTATCTGTGAGGAGGTCAATAATTCTGCCTCTAAGTCTCCATGATTGCCAAGCGAATGAATGAGTGAATGAATAGTTTACTGGGCAGATTTATTTCATATTAATTTGCAGCTTCTCTCTTCTATAAAGTTTGTAATTCTGTTTCTTAAAGTTATTTTTAGTTGATATTTCTGATTAACCAATTCTATTTGTCCTCTCCATGTTTTAACTTGGAATCAGTGATTCTCTAGTCCTTTTTTTCAGTATCATGATGAGGATTTAATAATATATTCCTTTGTAGGTATTCTTCATTTTTCCCCATATGTGGGCTGTTGGTTTACCCAATTTATTACTCAGTGCTGGCTGAAGATCTAGTCTTTATTTACTTTTTTGCACATTTAGGTTTCTGAAAACTAAAAGCCTAAGATGGACATTATTCCCTCTGACAAGACTTGATAAGATAGATATGCCTGTAATAGTGAGAATTTCAAGGAAATACAGAATGCATTTTTTTAAAAAGTACAGATGGGTTATTACTATAGAACTTATGAGAAAAAATGGGATTGTATCTTTTAAGAAGACGGGGTGAGAGGAGGAAGTTAGGCTCCGCCTTGCAGTTTATCAGAGAGGCCTGATGGCCCAGCAGAGGAGCATGTTCCGGGAGATCTTGGTTCTGGCAGAGAGGTCTCCTGCCCAGGCTCGGAACCCACCGCTTCCCTCTGAATCCCAGCTTCACCACCCGGCTTGAGCAGGTGACTGAAGCTCCCTGTGCCTCAGTTTCCTCCTCCGTAAGACTGGAGGTAACGACATGTGCGCATCACAGGGTTGTTAGAGGACCGAAGGAGTCAATATACCTAAAGCGCTTAGATCTGTGCCAGGCACATGGTCAATGCTATAACGTGTTATTATTATTTCTGCTTTGGAATTTCTTCCTTTTTTTCAAGTTGGAGAAGAAAACTGACTTGCTCTCGCACTTCTGAGTTTCGACTGGGAAACTCTGAAAACAGTCCGGGTCTTTGAGGCTCTGAAAAGATGCAGTCACCACCCTCCATCCTGTTCTCCCCACGCCCCACCCACACCCAGTGGAGGATGCTGCTCTCTGGTGGTCGCTCGGTGCTGCTGAATATCAGCCGGTCGGAGGCAGGAATTTTCTTTGTCTCCACCTTTGCATAACTTAAATGTTAATTTTAAAGAAGTTAAAGTATTTCCCTCCGGGCGTTGCTTGAAATGTGGCTGCTGAATCACAGAAACATATGTAGATTTCAAAAATGGGAATGATAAATATTACAGTTTTTATTTGCTTAGAAATTATTAGAAAATAATATAGACAATTATAAAGTGTATTGTCTAAGTGTTTTTATTCATATGTTGGAAAACTAGATAAATAATAGCCAAGCACCTGAAGATCAAGTAGATATGTCTCTGATATTGAGTTAGGCATTCCTTTTAGAAAAAAATAATTATGAACATTAGTATAGGTATTGTATTTCATATTAAAATTTAAGTTCTTATATTACAATTTTATTATTTTGGCAAATGTTTTCCAGAATTGGGGAGACAAAAGCTATAGTCATTAAAATGAGAACTTATGCATGTGTATGAAGTCTGCTAATATTACAGGTTTTGTTTTTCATCATCAAAGCATCTTTAGTCAATGCCCCAACTGCCTAAACTTCTTCAGGAATCTCATAGACAGACATTTATTTTCAAGTGAAATTACAAAAAACTACTCTTTGCTACTTCTTTTGGAAACGTAGCTAACTCTGGAATGTGGTCCGGTGCAGCCAGCGCTCCTCTGCTGGAGGAACCACAAAAGGAACCTCAGAGGATGCGTGACTGTTTATTTACACATTTGTTATCGTTTCTCCTCGAGTAAAGAATGGATTTGAACTCCTCAGGCCGAGCTGCAGGAAGCCCCATCCGTCTCTCCACACTTCTGCTGTCGTTCCCATTGTGGAGGAGACATTATTCAAGCCACAGGCTCCAGACTCCCAGGTAACTACAGCCAGCGGGAAGCTCTGCGTGGTGCCCAGTGTGTTCTCCACCTTTTTGTTGCGATGGGAAGAAAGGCACTGACTGCTTTCATGCTCCTGTGTTAGCAGAGCCTGGCGGAGAATGCTGCATTGCTGGGCCCTGACCACACTCTCTGATAGTCACTGACTCTGTGGTCGTAAATTCTCCATATAAAAAAATCCGTGGTTTTTCATCTAGCTACACCAACCAGAAAGTATTACATGTTCATATGTTTTTGTTGAAAGTGTTATTTAAAATTTTGCTTACAGGAATTGCCACCTGGACAACACAACTTGACTTTTCTCTTAAATTCTGGGAGACAGAATCTGCCATCAGACAGAGAAGTAAACATAACAAAGCCATCCTGAACTTTGGGGTAGACGTATAGACTCTGCTGAACGCTCCATCGCAATGCTTTTTGTCTTAGAGACTCGTGTGAGATAATAAAGTGAAGTGTCTTTAGTTTTTTTTCCCTGAAAAACCCCTCGTACCGTGGGGTTCATTCACAAACGTACTTCTAACGCTCGTCTTGGGTTTGACTCACCACAGAACCATATATTAAATCTGCTCCTACAAAGAACACTGTTTATGTCATCTTGTCTGGACTCGGTATCTGTGTTTTACAGGGAAGGAACAAATCTGAACAAAATATGGAAGCTTCAAGCAACACATATTTAACCCTTGAACAGTTAAGATTCAGAATGATCTTAAGCTCATGTCTTTATCTTTATCATTCTCCCTGACGTGTGGTCTATTTTGGTTGCTGAGTTTGTTCCACATCCCCAGCATCCAAATGATGTAAGCAAGGAATTCAGACTCTCCTAACAGAAAAAAGAAAAATAACGTCAGAAAATTTTACTGTGTTATTTTAGCCCAACATTTAAAATTTTATAGTACCTTTTGTGATTTAAAACTTATAATAATTTGAATACCAATTATTTCAGGGCTGTCTTCATTCCAGTATTGGAGACATTACATGTATTTAAACACTTAATTTTCTCACCCAGAACCGTTGTATAATCTTCTCGCACTTCAGAACTAGTCACTGAGTGAACCCCTCCCTGACGTTACTGCCAGAATACTTAAAGACTCTCCTGAAGAGGAATCATTACCAGGGAATATGACTACTATTCTTGTTGGGTTTTTCATTTTAAACCAGAGTATCTAAAACTTGGTGCTAAAGGCATTTGTGGCTGGGTCATTCTCTGTCGTGGGCAGTCTTGCGCATTGTCTGCTGTTTAGCAGAATCCCTGGCCTCCACCCCTGGACGCCGGTAACACCCCTTCCTCCACTGTTACAACCAGAAATGTCTCTAGACATGGTCCAATGCCGCATGCGGGACTGAATACCCGCCCCCCATACCAGAACCATTGTTTTAAACCGATAAACTGCGCACCCCGTTGCTTTCCCCCCAACATCTCCAGTCAAGACTCGGCCGTTTTGCACGGCTGCCCAGACCAGATGGAGGGTCTGTGGTCACAGGCTGTGTGTCCCCATCATTTCTCTACTTCTTTTCCACTCCTCACCTCCACCTGGCACCTACTTCCCCATAAATACACACATTTGTGGCTCAATCTCCACCTTGTGATGGTGGCCAGTGGGGGGGAACGAGGACAGGGTGGGCAATGGAAGGCGCATGCTGGAGAGCCCAGCAGACCCGCGTGCTCGCTATTCTTCTCCCTGTGCCCTAGTTAGTTCACCCTTAAAAGGATGGGCACGCCTGCTTCCTAGGTGTTGTAGGATTGCAGAATGAACTGAGTTGAAAGGAAACCGGTTTGTAGATCACTTTCTTTGTGACGGGCGTGAGGTACGTGCTGTATTCAGATTATCTCACTCTATACGCCCAACACTGAGGTCCCATTTTACATACAAAGAAACTGGGGTTCTGAAAGACAAGATAGCTTTCGCAAGGGTGCACGGTGTTAAGTAGAGACGTCATCTGAGCTTTCAAGTTGCCTAACGCATCCCACGAAATTCCGGAAATGAGACATGTTCTCAAATATTACTTCTCCACTGGTCTGAAGTGGGGCCAGGGTATAGTTTGTTGAAATTTTACTCCATCAAAAGACAAATCTAGCTAAGTATTAACCCTGTGCACAATAATCCAAAATACTCTGGTGAATTTAGAGTTATCGTCAGAGTCCCATTCCTTCCAGTCTTCTTGGTGAGGTTGATATTAACTTTAATTCAGTCTGTTGGTAGGTTAATGCTGACGGGAGTGAGTTAAGTGAATCTGTGGAAACGTGTCTGTATCTCCTTGGCTCCTGGTTACTCTTTCTATCCTTGGTTACTTTAACATTTGTTGAACTTCTGGTTTTAATCACTAGCAGCACACAGCAGCCAGATGCAAGAGCGGGTCTGAGGGAGAATCCAGCAGTTCCTTGAGCCATTGGGAGTGGGCTTCTGCTTTTGAAGGAAACAGACATACTTAGCTGTAAGAGTTGAAAGCAAATTATTTTTTCAGATTAAAAAAGTATTTTCAAGTAGAAAGGAACTCCGAGCAGAAGAATGAGATGAAACAAAAAAGAAATTTTAAAGACGGATGCATTTTTCTCAGGGAGATTTTTATTTTGATCATTTCTATTGGAAAATGACATGAAAATTCCTTGGCATTGGCGGCAGAGTCCAGGCAGAGAGAACGGCTCCCTGGCCTTTCTTGAGCAGGACGCCACGTTGGCATGACCCCACGCTGTGGGCATCGTGTCACCTTCCCACTGGCCTCCCTCCTGGGCAGGAGCCCTTAGGAGATCTCAGCCCTAGTGTCTGCGGCCAGGGGAAGAGGTGGAGTGGTTTCTCCAGCAGCACGTGACAGAAGCCATGGAAGGATGGGGAGCGGTCCACAGGACCACACCGAGACCAAGTTTCCGCCT